CTCTCTCTCTGTCTCTCTCTCTCTCTGTCTCTCTGTCTCTCTCTCTGTCTCTCTCTCTCTCTGTCTCTCTCTCTGTCTCTCTCTCTCTCTGTCTGACTGTCTGTCTCTCTCTCTCTGTCTCTCTCTGTCTCTGTCTCTCTCTTTCTCTCTCTCTCTCATTCTGTCTCTTTCTCTTTCTCTCTCAACAGGTGCCTTTTTAAGGCTCGAGTCTAAGTTTCCTTTAGCTTCCTGGCTCCAGCTCTGACATAATCATTCTTTAATATATCTCCGCGGCCCCTGTAGTGCCCGCTCTGAGCCTGTCCCCGCTGCTCCTCACCTCTGCCCCGCCCCCACGCCCACACTCCGCTTTCTGTTTTGTCCATCACCTTGGTTTCCCCCCCACCCTTTCTGACCTGCACTTTTTCTGGCTCAGACACAGGCAGGTTGGGAGGTAATGAGAACCAGATGGACACCGTGCAGAAATTGCCCAAATGGGTATGAGAATGTGGGGAGCTGTCAGGCATGGAGAGAAGCTGGAATTTTTCAGCAATAAAATGGGATTTATCGCCACTCTACCACAGTCATTGCCGACAACCGTTTACCTTGACAGAAACCCCATTCCAATAGGCCACGCCGATGCAGATTCTTTTTTCCCAAAGAGTGATGATTGGTATTTGTTCTAAGGCTCAGATGGCCTGCACTAAAGGTGAAGCATTAGGCCAAAGTCCTGTATTCCCTACTGAGGCAAATGAACCTGCTAAAATAAGTTCCTTCCACAATGGCTGTGTAATTGAAACCAGAGAGTGAGAGAATTTGATAAATTGCTTGACCCTGAAGGAATGTTAAGGTCATAAATTTTCATTGCATTTTTTTCTCTCTTTTTTTTATTCTTATATATTGATTATATTTAGTATTTGCTGCAAAATTCAACAAGCTTACAGATCATCGGTTGTGGCCCCGGGGGAAAGCACGGTAAATCATCAATTAACGGGGCAAGGGGCATTCTACCCTGTCTTGCAGAGAGGGATGTCAGCTCCTTGGTATGCCAAGGACAGTCGTGGAGGTGTCTTACACCTCAGAATTATTTCAACTTAGCACGCAATTTGTCCTGGCATGGACAAAGTAAAAGTTACTGAAAGGATTTTTCTGGGATGAGTGCAGTTCTACTTCTATCATTTAAGAATGATGAACTGTTAAGTGGCTGGCAATCCATTCCAGCAATCACACCCACATACCTTCTCCCCTTTAACCTAAAAATAAGGACAATTATATTTTAGCTACAAAAGTGATCATCACTTCAAGGTAAATTGAAAGCGAGCCTACATGTGCGCAAGTGAACACTCTTGCTTCTGAACGCTGGGCTTGGCAAGTCTTTGAAATTACTCAATTTTTTTTGAAATCTAAATTGTCTTAACATGAAAGTAAAGTATAAGGCATACAAACAGTGTAAGCAATATACTGTATAATGTAAAATAGACTAAAATATGAAAGTTATCACATAGCAGAAATGTTTATACATCTCATAGCAAGACTTTGCTTGTTTTTCTAAGAAGTGAATGAACTGAGATTGTCAGTGTCTTAATTTGCCTGTGTTCTCCACCAGTCTTCTGCGGTGGTACAGTCTGATGACATAAGCTCAGCATAAAATAGGTTGAGTGATTGGTTGATAGCCAAAACTTCTTGTCTTTGGAAAACTTAAGAAACATGTCTTCTGTATACTTGTGTGCTTAATTTGCTAGACCTGTTAAACAAAATCACAGGCAATTTAACTACTAATGTATCACTGTTATATTCAGAATTTTTAGAATTCAAGAGACTCAAAGTGGGATATAGGCTAGAAGTTCTGATTGACCAAGAAGATAATTTCTCTAATTTAAGAAAGATCCCTTCGGATTCCTTTTCAATTATGAATTACCAACATGAAGGTTGGAAACCAGTACTAGTTCTAGGATGCAGAAGTATTAAATAAGTATGTGAGTTTCTCCTCATAACCAGCTGAATTTTGTAAGAAAAAGACACAATTTATGTTGCATTCCACAAAACATGATCAGTAGGAGTGAAGCTAAATAATTTGTAGTTCTGTGTCCCATTTTCTTTTGTTCATAAATAAATTAATGACCAAGGTTTGCTAAGAGTATTTATATCTCCAAAAATTGTTTGCAAGTAAGAGTAGGAAAGAGAGTACATAAAAGTAATAAATTCCAAATCCTTGTTCTTCCAAAATACAAAGGCAGATTAATTTTGGGTGATACAAAAAGTAAGTAGTACTGGGGCTGTCAAAAATCTTGGAATCTAGCACCAAAGTAAAAAGCAAGTTGATAACTTTCATATGTTACTGCTTATATGTGTATAAATGTTCTCACAAGAATTCAACAATAATACGTCTTCCTCATATAGAGGGGAGACCATGATATACATATAACCTGCCTCTAATCTAGGGTTTTTCCCGGTATAAAAATGTGACTTCCTTCCTCCGTACTTCAAAATTTTGTTGCAAGGCTGTTTCAAACAAACAAAAAATAAATATATGCATATGTATGTATGTATACATATATAAGTATAAATAAAATATGAACAGAAAATGGATTCAATTACTAATATTTTTGCAAACTAATGTTCAGCTGATGCAACTCAATTTTATTTTGCATCACATTAGTGTCATAATGATAATGACTAGCCTTTATTCACTAACAGTTTGAGTCAGCACTTTAAGACATTTTCAAATTAGGTCATACTGCACATTTGTGGCTGATACAAAGGTTGATTAAGAGAGCTGCACAATTGTGAAGTGATGTGGTGTGAGTTGAATTAAGTTCTCTCTGATAGTTACGGGAAATGTGAGCCACTATAACTAAGCAGAAATAATGTATGGGCTATGGGGGAAGGAGGAGGAGAATATATTTCCACAGAGTGCTTGCAGTAATACTCATTTACAATTTAACAAAGTCCTCTGTCTGTTCAGGAAGAATTCTATCTTGGAGCTTGGAAACAGGGAGGAAATACAAATACAACACTAGAGACCTGGTCCCCAGTTCTGTTCCAGGGAGTCAGTTTTGCCTTTATGTCTGTTTTGATCTTCTCAAGACTTTTTTTTTTTTTTTTTTTTTTCCTTCTAGACACTGTCTACAGCTTTTCTGAGGCCAAAATGATCCGGTGTCACAACCTAACTTTTTACCCAGAGTGTAAGAGTTCTGAGGCAAGGCTAAATTGCTATGCAAGCTAGACTGGAAGGGAAGGAAACACTCTGTTTAAAGCGATATTGTCATGGCAAATCTACAAGCTCATCTACACTCAAGGATTTTCTTTAATTCAGCCAGCACTTCAGGTAAATTGTAAATACGGCTCCTGAAATGCAGAGTGTCTTTTAATTGAATTTAAGGAGAACCAAAATAAAAGCTGGAACCCCTAACTGCTGGCCTGTTCAGTAAGGGTAAAAATAGTGGTTGTTACAATATATTCCCATCATATTGCTCATAGAATAAAGAAGTCATAAAAGACACACATACACACACACACACACACACACACACACAGGCTTTCAAAATAAAGGAACCTGAACAAAAATCTAAGCAGTATGTGATGACCCTGAACCAAAAGAAGAGTTCCTTACCTTGGCAGTGTTTGTCCCATTGACAAAAAAGAAAGAGCTTCCTGTACCTTATCATGCACAACATGCTTCTTGCATTCTGTGAATTGAGATACTGAAACGTACATTTCTAATGCAATCAGATCACATTTTAGCTCATCCCTTTGATATGTTTATTAATGTCCACTTCCCAGCAGATGCATTCTCTCCCCATGGGTGCAGGATGGTGTGACTCACCCACCCCAGCCTGGTTACCTTCCATTTATTCTTAATTTCTTTCAAATTGAATCTGAGTTTTCAGAGTTTGGCTGAACTTGTTTTTCTAATAAAATGACAAGGCAAAGAAAGAGCATGTGCTCCACTAAAAAAGAGGTCTACATGTTGATTTAAAAATAAATGCACTAAATTAGAAGCAGGAATTTGTAATAGCTGTATTCGTAGTATTCATCAATATTTTTATATCTGAGGTGCATAGTTATAATTTCCAAAAAAATGGAAGGAAAAGAGCCTTCAAATTTTGGAAGAGATATAAACAAGAACCTTTTGCAAGGAAGAAAGGGAGGGAAGGAGGGAAGAAAGGAGGAAGGAAAGAAACTTGAGGGAGGGAAGGGGGAGAGGAAAAAAGGGAAGAAACAGGAAAGGAAAAAAAAAGAGGGAAAGCCTGATTTGGGCTCTTTCACTCACTTTTAACTAAGATATTCTCCTGAATCATTCATTCCTTTTGACTGCCTTCTGTCCTTCGGCTGCAAGTGACCACAGTCGGATGGAACACGGTATGTAAAGTCACTTTAACTTTGATATTTTGGTCTTTTTGTTACTGCATCTAACCAATGTTTCCCATAAGCCGTAACCTGAACTTGGATAGTCCAAGCCCCTTGATGTTGCTGAACTATAGAAGTTGCTCTGCTCAGATCTGATTATTTATTGCAAAACAATGGTCCTGAGTATCTTCCTAGGACGTCAAAGGAATGTCCTATGACTGGAATTCAAAGACAAATATCTCCAGATTCATAGTCTGCCAAGTAATTCTGGAAGCAATAGTGGTACTATGACGCAACCCCAAACATTTTCATTTTGAAAAAAACCTTTGGTATTTCCAATCCCTTAATTTACATCTTCAAAAGGTCACTGTGGTGCTAGCTGAAATCGATTGCACATTTTACTTATTGTGAAGTAAGCTAATTTGCCTAGCCAAGGAAGTGCACCTTTCTAGCCACTAGGATGAAGCAAATCTGAATCAAGCATAATATCACAATGAGCAGGTAAAAGTAGTTTTGCTGTTTTCTTAAGCAATTAAGGGAATACTTGAGTTCTCTAACAGTTTAATTTAGATGGGAATATCATCCAGTGAGCTATATTTATTAATAGTGGGGTTTTTTATTGTTGTTTTGCAAAATGGATACAGCAACATTACAGGGGTTCTACCTGACTTTTGATGATCTGGTATGCAGTGATTAAATAAGGTTAATCTTCATTTTATATGCTAATAGGGTATTTATAATCTCTACAGCATATCCAATTTAATGATTTTATTCTCTATTGTTTGGAAAGTATTTCTTATTAGCTGAAGAAAATATCCTTACATTCACCACAGATGCTAGTTTAATTGGGCTTGAGAGCATTGTGCATAATTAGTCCACTTCTCTAATATTTCATCTATAATTACACAATGAACAATGTGCTTAAATTTCATAAAATTGGTGGGTTCAAAAGAAAGTCTTAAAAAAATGAACATTCCGTTTGCAGTGTTTCCCAAGCCCTGCTAAAAGCCTGATGAGTACAGGGCTCAGGCCGGTGGGAGTGTACTGATGAAAGGCTGCCTGAAGGCTGAGGCTAAAAGCACAAATGATACTCCCTTCTAGCTCCACTTAACCTACACAGTGACAATGGTTTGGGCAGAGTTTTTGGATCAGGCCCATCCATTAGTGGCAAACTAGACTGAAAGTCCTCACATAGTAGCCCCAAAGATCCTTGCAAAGGTCAACCTTCAAGATCATACCTTGGATGGCAAAGCTATTTGGTTTGAGGTTTGGGTTCCCATCACATTCCGTTCCTCCCAGCCCAGCATTTAGAGCTCTTTCAGACAAACTGATTCTAGATAGTAGCCTACGAAGTTTTACCAGGGTACCCAACGGCCAACTTCCAATTTTGTTAGAGAATATGACCAAGGAAAGAAAATGGAAAAGAAAGAGAAAGTGAAAGTGGCTTATAACTTTGAGTGTTCTACTGACAGAAGGTAGTAGCTGACAGAGTGTGTATGTGTGCATTTCCCATCTTAGTCCAGATGAAGTTATTCATATTCTAGCAGTCTGCTTAGTTACAGATTTGTTGAATTAAAAGAAAATGAATCATGTAGTTTTAGCAGAGTTTCCCCCAAGACCACAGGGAGGCCTCATTGTCTTTACCCAGCTCATGGAGTTAGCCAAGGTCAACAACATATCTACACTGCGCCTTCAAGACAACTTCTCCTGTATCCTTAAAATTTCCAGTCTATAAATGCTTTGGGTGCAGCTTCCTCAATTCACCTTCCAACACCCTTGCTTCCCTTTTTCTAAGGAGAACCAAACACCGAAGTGACTACCTATGACCCAGAAACCCACCAAATGGCCAATGGACACAGAAGACCCCCATACACAATTCAAGCATAATCTTTTACCTTTGGACCTAATAACACCTAGGGGAAAAATGCAACTGCCCTTGAATCAAGGTCTAGGTGGAAAAATGGAATTACTACCAGGTAGCTCAACTGACAGAATTAAACCAGGAAAGTAGTTAGAAAGGTGACAGAAGAACTGAAACCTGATAGGGATGGTGAGGTCTCCAAGAGTTTGGCAATAACAAGAACCAAGGCCATGCTCTACTAGGCAGACAAGAAGAAGAGAGCAGTTTGTGGTTTCAGAGAAAATGCAGAGGTAGTCAGCACCACCTCCACAACACGCAGGAGGGAGAGAGGTTGCAGTTCCAGGCTTTCTCATCATTATTAGCCAGTGCCTTCCTTTGACAAAATTTGTAGAAGCCACATGGCAAGGAAATCTTCACAGGGGTAAATCCCCCTATAATATAGAAGACAAAGGAAAGCAGAGGAAAAGATAGGAGAGCAAATAGATGAACATTTGGCAAAGCCCATTCTCAGCAGCCATAAGAATTATCTGAAGATAAAATTCTCAACAAAAGCTTATGTGAATTCAGTAGGAGGAATCTGATATTTATTTTGGTTTCAAATTCCTAAGCCAATCTACCTAGGAATATTAACTAGGAAAATGGCTATTATGTTGAGAATAAATTCTCAAGCAAACAATACATTTCAGCTAAATGGATTAAAAAGAGACACAAGCCCTGAAAAAGTGAAGGCCACCGTATTTCCAAACTTCTTGATATTTTTTGTAAGGGTAATGTGTCATTTCCTATATCAGTGTGGTCCACAGGTTGGTGCACATGTGGAAGGTCAATCTTGACTTTGAATTTCCTGGTTTCCACAGATTTTGTTACACCCAAAACTTTGTTTGAGCAAGGCTGAAAGATTTTGTTCAGGGAAGAATTCTAGTGCTTTGATTAAACAATGATGAATTGTTGATATTTCATGTCCCCATTCACTACATTGCTGTTTTGTAGCCAGATCAACTATAAAAAAAAATTTTCTTCTCGCCCCCCCCCCCAGAGTAGTAGGGCTCAAACTCAAGGCCTTGTACTTGTGAGGCAAAGACTGTACCACTGAGCTACACCTCCAGCCTTCAGACTTTTTTCCAATGTCTTCATATTCTTTAAGCTATTCTTTCCTGACACCTGCTAATACTAATGGGGTCTGTTGTTTGGGCTCAGGTACAATGCCGCCTATACCCTTGACACCTGGATACAAGTGCACTTTTCAAGGATTAACATCTTAACTTCTTGCAACTCTATTTGCAGCCGTATCTCTTGCCTGTTAAAATGTATGGTGAATTTAAAGGAGATTTGCATTTGGTCTTACAAAATGAAGATTTTACAAGTTGACTTTTTTCTTCTCTTCTGACCAGACCCATATTACTAGGAAAGGGAAAGGCCAAGGGGAAATTATTGCTATTTTAGACAGCAGCATAAATTTTCTTCCTATTTTCAACCTAGCTTTTAATTTAATAAGTTTTATGACCCTTATATTAAGTACATATGTTTTACAAGACATTGTGTCCCTTGAGTCACCCTGAATTTGCTCTACTGTACCAGAGTTAAATGAATGAATACTGTGTTTCTGATTTTAGTTCACTCTGTATTTGATCCTTCTAATATGCCTGATAAACCTTCATAAAAGCAGAGAGCAACAACATAACTATAAAGTCATCTAAAGGTTAGCACAGACTGTTTTAAATAAAATGAATAAAATCTTCTCTTAACAATATTTTAAATTTAGATTTATCCTCTACTGCTTTTTGTGATAATTAAGGACAGGCGATATGTTAGAAATAGTCTCTGGCCTTAAGAATGGGCAACTAAACATTTACAAAATGTTTTTAAGTTTATTCTAGTAGACAGTGCAAAGATATTCTCCCCTCCAATTAAGGCTCCAAAATCAAAGACAACTGTGTCTCTTTGGAAATCTGAAATGATGTTAGTGTTCTTAGAAAGATATTCTATCAGCATATGTGCATGCCTGTTGGAAATGAGGACCGTGCTGCAGAAATGTACAAAGGATTTCACCAATCCTCAATAAAGAAAGATTATATGAGCAACTTTAGGATTGTTTAAGAAGAAAGTGTTGAGTTCACAGCAGGATAGAGAAAACCACATATAACAATGGCAGGAAGAAGCAGGTTTTCCTAAGTTGTGTGGCAGGGAGATAGGGCTGGGAAGAGCAGAGGCATGGCTTGGTTCTCAGCTGTGTGTTCAAACCAGTACATATACTCTGGTTTCACTTCAGATCGTATAAATGTTTCGCCTTTACTTAAAACAGTACAAAGGTATGGAAACCTAGTACTGATGATGAAACCTTTTTAAGTTTTTAAGATGTAGCAGATTTGTAAATCAGATCAAAGCATAGAAGCTATTGATTAGCTAAATATTTAACTGGAAAAATCTTTATAATGTAATAAGATTGGTTTTAAAATATGCTTCATAAATTTGCTGCTTCAATTCTGATTTTAAAAATGGTTTCCATACATATGCCAACATTTAGCAAGGCAGTGTGCTACTAAAAGTACACTTTAGGTCAATAGATGAAGTGTGGCCCAAACTCAAGATGGAAAAGTTTATATCACAATATCAGTTTAAGTGCCAGACTACATAACTGTACTGTTAAGTTTACTAATGTATAAAATCCAATTCAAGAAGCCATTAATTTCTTTCCTATTCATTTTGTTTGCTTTTGTCCCACTTCAGTAACTTTGCAGGACATGACCTTAAAATATAATTGGTTGTTCAGTAGAACCTCTCTCAAACATCTACATAAGAATCGATGTTTATTTCTCAAACCCACACAGGCTCCAAAATTGATATGTTGCCCTCTGATTTTATTGTTAGAGGAAACCATCCATTATTTTCAAAGGCTAAAAAATCTCAGCCATTCTATATTTCATTTCAAGACTGAGTGACCAAAATATTGGGCCTGTTTGAAATCTATTTAAACATTTGGCACCTTGTATGTTGTTTGCATTTAAAAGGCTTTTTATTTTATTTTTAAGAAAGAATCTAAGAGTCCCTAACAGCTAAAAATTCTTGGGCAGGCCAACGTCTAAATTATGGCCACACTGCTGAGAAGCACAAGTTAGGACGGAATGTTGGTATTAGGCTCCATGAAAACAAGAGCTGGCCATTTTAACCCGTCATAGAGAACTCCTGGTCACCTCCCAAGGGGCAAATTGATGTCAAGTTCTGCTGTCTGTCAGGATTAAGTGCCTGTTTGCTTTTTCACTAACATGTGGTTTGA